GCTGAGTAATATTCCATTGTATATATGGACCAATCTTCTTTATCCACTCATCTGTTGAAGGGCATCTTGGCTCTTTCCACAGTTTGGCCATTGTGGACATTGCTCCTATGAACATTGGGGTGCAAATGGCCCTTCTTTTCACTACATCTGTGTCTTTGGGGTAAATACCCAGAAGTGCAATTGCTAGGTCATAGGGTAGCTCTATTTTTAATTTTTTGAGGAACCTCCACACTGTTTTCCAAAGTGGCTGTACCAACTTGCATTCCCACCAACAGTGTAAGAGGGTTCCCCTTTCTCCACAACCTCTCCAACATTTGTTGTTTCTTTTCTTGTCCATTTTTGCCATTCTAACTGGTGTAAGGTGGTATCTCAATGTAGTTTTGATTTGAATTTCCCTGATGGCTAATGATGATGAACATTTTTTCGTGTGTCTCTTAGCCATTTGTATGTCTTCTTTTGAGAAGTGTCTGTTCATGTCATCTGCCCATTTTTTGACTTGATTATTTGTTTTTTTATTATGTTATGTTTATCACCATACATTACATCATTAGTTTTTGATGTAGTGTTCTATGATTTATTATTTGTGTATAACACCCAGTGCTCCATTCAGTATGTGCCCTCTTTAATACCTATCACCAGGCTAACCCATCCCCCCACCTTCTTCCCCTCTAGAACCCTCAGTTTGTTTCTCAAGAGTCCATAGTCTCTTATGGTTCATCTCCCCCTCTGATTTTCCCCCCTTCATTTTTGTTTTTTGGGTGTTGAGTTTGAGAAGTTCTTTATAGATCTTGGAAATCAGTGCTTTGACCAATGGAACAGAATAGAGAGTCCAGATAGGGACCCTCAACTCTATGGTCAAATAATCTTCGACAAAGCAGGAAAAAATATGCCATGGAAAAAAGACAGTCTCTTCAATAAATGCTGCTGGGAAAATTGGATAGTTATATACAGAAGAATGAAACCCCACCATTCTCTAACACCATACACAAAGATAAACTCAAAATGTATGAAAGACCTCAATGTAAGACAGGAATCCATCAAAATCCTACAGGAGAACATAGGCAGTAATCTCTTTGACATCAGCCACAGCAACTTCTTTCAAGATACATCTCCAAAGGCTAGTGAAACAAAAGTGAAAATGAACTTTTGTGACTTCATCAAGATAAAAAGCTTCTGCACAGCAAAGGAAACAGTCAACAAAACAAAGAGGCAACCCACAGAATGGAGAAGATATTTGCAAATGACAGTACAGACAAAGCACTGATTTCCAAGATCCTCTTTTGTCTTCTAATTGAAAGCTAGCTCTTCCAGGGTGAGACACTGGGAGGAAAGAATTGGAGAGATAGCAGAGGGTTCCTAACATGTGCCTGGCTGCCTATGGGTAGTCAGAGGTGTCCCTAGTCTCACTCTGGTGCAAACTGGGTCCATCTCTTATGATCTTCAGGATCTGAGGTTCAAGATGTTCTTGGGAGTGATATTTAGCTTTACCATGGTCCCCTTCCCTGCTGAGGAGTCCCTTGGAGGGGGAAATGCCCAACTCACTTGGCCTCTCTAGGCTTAACCCATTCTCTACATGTGTTTCTTCATTTGGAACCATGAAGTCTCCATCTCCCTGTTTCTTGGTCTTATTTAAGCTGCACAGAGCTTTTCTGGAGGAAGGCTCTTATACATGCAGCCTTCCCCCAAACCCCTAGGCCTATAAAACCCTGAAAATGGAGACCCTGAAGCTGAATGTGACAGTAATGATACAAGATCAGGTCAAGGATCATGGTTATTTGCCAAACTGTACAAGATGTTGTAACCAGAGGATGTTTAATGTAATGTTAATGATAATGTGGCAGAGACACCTAGTTGTCTCCTGGTATCTGTTTTCTTCTTTAGAAATTAAACTCTAATTTTTTCCAGAATTTATTTTTATTTTTATTTTTTTTTTAATTTTATTTATTTATTTGACAGAGAGAGACACAGCGAGAGAGGGAACACAAGCAGGGGGAGTGGGAGAGGGAGAAGCAGGCTTCCCGCGGAGCAGGGAGCCCGATGCGGGGCTCGATCCCAGGACCCTGGGATCATGACCTGAGCCGAAGGCAGATGCTTAACGACTGAGCCACCCAGGTGCCCCAAATTTTTTCCAGAATTTAAACTCCAACCTCCTTTGCAGCTATGTGAGACTAAGTTCTGGCCTATGAGATGGGAAGGGAAGTAAGTGTAGCTTTTGGGTCACACCCTTAAAGGAAAGAGGCATATTCTTTATTTTTCCTGCCAGTGGGAAGTTCCACATGGTGGTAGGCTATCTGTGATGAGGTGGATGAAGACATACCTTGGGATAACAGAGCAACTTGCTAGAAGGAGCCCGGCTCTCTAATCCTGTGGAACCTGTCTAACCTCCCTGGAGTGTCAATAAGGCAGTCTGGTTTAAGGTTTTGTGATTTTTGCATCTTATTATAGCAGTGAAACCTCAGCCTCAACCAATACAAATTGCCATTTGTTGGGTACATCCTACATGCCATGTGCTGTGCTAAGCTTTTCACATACATTATTTAATCTTGTTTTTAGAGAGAGAGAGAGCGAGCGAGCACGAGTGGCGGGGGAGGGGCAGAGGAAGAGGGAGAAACAGACTCCCCACTGAGCAGGGACCCTGGATGAGGGGCTAGATCCCAGGACCCTGGGATCATGACCTGAGCTGAAGGCAGACGCTTAACTGACTAAGCCACCCAGGCACCCTACATTATTTAATCTTTACAATTTATTTTGGTTGTTAAGTAGTGTATCAGCTAGGGCTTATTGGGCAAAACCAACAGAAACAGACTCTGGCTAACAAGCAAAAAATGAAATTTACTGGAAGGAAATATAGTGGCTCATAGGATGGAAGGGAAGCAGACTCAGAGAGGACAGAAACTGTGACTTTGGCAGTCCTGACAGGAGAGAAAGAAGCCAAATATTAATTTTCTGCCTTTGCATCACTGTGCTCAAAATTCAAATTAAAAGTAGAGTCCAGAGGCACCTGGATTTCAAATTTCAAAAATTTGAAATCATCTGCAGTCTGCCTTATCCTGCTTCTCCCTCTCCCACTCCCCCTGCTTGTGTTCCCTCTCTTGCTGTGTCTGTCAAATAAATAAATAAAATCTTAAAAAAAATAATAAAGTAGAGAGTCCAGGGGCACCTGGGTGGCTTACTTGGTTAAGCGTCCGACTCATGATTTTGGCTCAGGTCATGATCTCATGGGTCCTGAGATGGAGCCCGGCATTGGGCTCTGTGCTCAGTGGGGAGTCTGCTTGGGATTCTCTCTTTCCCTCTGTCCTTCCCCCCCGCTCCCATGTGCTCTCTCTCTCTTTTTCAAATAAATAAATATATCTTTAAAAAAAGCAGAGAGTCCATTTGATCCTACTTTGGTCAAGAGGCTACTCATTTAGTTAAGATGGGGGTGGGGAAAGGCTCCTTAACTTACCTTGATTTACTGTCTCACCAAGAAATGTATACAATGGTAGAGGGGTAATTGATCAAAAGGAAATTGGCTGCTATTAGCAAAACAAGGGACGAATGGATATTGAGTGGCCTAAAACAAAAATTTCCACTATGAGTAAGTAATAAGATTTCCAATTATGTGAAAATTAATAAAGGGAGATCTCACTAAAGCAGAACCAGGAGGCTAGAGTAGGAGGCTAGAAGAGGAAGCTATACCACTCAACCTCAGTTATAGGAAGAATTGTTAATTACAGACCCCAACAGAAGAATCCTCAACAGGAAAGAGCTATAAATTATAGGGCTCAACAGGGAAAGATGTATACTGCATCCCCTACAAGAAATCGACCATCCCTGCAATTCAGCCAATGGGAAACTCATCGCCTGGAACTCTGTTTCTCTCCAATGGACTTTTGTTTAAAACAATCCTTCCTAGTCTTCTCCTGTTTTAGAAAATAACATCCTTTGTTTGTTGTACTTGCGTGTGGTTTTATCATAGTGTCCATATCCCAAATTGCAATCCTCTGCTATTCTCGAATAAACCTATTTTTGCTAGTAAAATAACTGACTGTTCTATTTTTAAGGTTTAACAATTATAAGGAAAACGAAGCTCAGAGAGGTAAGTTAACTTGCCCAAAGTCACACGGCTAGTAGAAAGCAGAGCTAGTGACTGAACCCAGATTAACTGACATGCTCTTAACCGTGATGCTGGGTGGCTTCCAATGGCTAACTCAGACCAGGTATATTTATGTTTGAATCTCCATAGAGGGGTTGACTTTCTACTGACTGATGCTGCTTCAAATAGGGTATAAAGATAAGTCTAATGCTAACCCTTCTCCCTCTTGATCCTAGGCCTTAGGTAGCCAGAAATTGGGGGTGTATTTTGATAAGAGAACAAAAAAATTTGAAATCATCTGCAGTCGGCCTCATCCTGCAATGCTCAGCAGGATACAAGTAGTTCAGACAGCAATCAATGGGCTTCTGGTGTGGCACAGGAAGAACAAAAGTCCTAATTGCCTCTATCTTTTGAGTCCACCAACATGGTCTACACATTGTAAGAACTGCTGTAATACCTGTTTACAAAGAATAGACACCTACCTGAATTTCTACAAGAAAATAGGGCCTTGGTGTGGAGACATGGGGAACAGGTATGAGGATGTGTGGGAGCTGGACTAAAACTGGAAAGCACCCACAGAATCCAGGCTGCTCTAGGACTCACTCTCCATTTCTCTCTCAGGGGCTGTGTGGCTCCCTCATCTTATCTCTGCTCCTCTCTGTGAATAGACTTCATTCCCTTCCTGTGACCTCTATTCCTTCACAACATAATTTGCTCCAGTCATCACTTCCACATTTCAGGAAGAAGGTTCAGGGAGGGGAAATGTCATCCTCTTTGTCCATCAAGGTTTCCCTTACATCTCATTGGTCAGAGTGGGCTCACATGGCCACTCCTGGCTGTAAGGCAGGCTGGGGAATCCTGTAAGCAGCTTTTCTAGTCTCTCTCTTGGAGAGAGGCATGGGAGAGGGAGCTGGAGTTAACCTACTATAAAGTATCTGCCCCAGGAGGTGGAATTTAGATAAACCTGCCAGCATGGTTGAGATAAAATTTATAAAATGTTTTGAACCTATAAAGCACTGTAAAATGTTGGCCTCAAAATGGGATGCATGTGGTACAACCCATTTGGAGAGTCATTTTAAAGGCCCCAGAGTGTGCATCTAATTTGCCTGAGTCATTTCATCTTAAAAATTATATCCATAAAAAAGAATTCCAAAGAAGCAAAAAGTTGTATGTAGACAATTTTTTAATGCAGCACTGCCTAAAATCACTAAAATTTCTCAACTCAGTGGAATACTTTATACCCATTAAAATGGGTATAAATATGAAATATTTGTGTTAAAATGTTATATAACAAAACCATGATACGGAATTAAACCTACCCTATCATGACAAATTTGTAAATTGTATCTGTGCTGGGAGTGAGTGCAGAAAAGCTGATATATGATGGAAGTGGGACTGCATGTTGCTTTTTCTTGTTTTCTTTAATATTTTCATAATACTCTTTGTATGTTAATACAATCAGGAGGAAAAAAAAAAAACAAATACAGTGGCTTTGTAGGCTTGGCTCAACTGTCAGGGACTGAACAGAGTCATATATCTTAGGACATATCTGATCTACTCCCCACAAATGGCGAAAGGTTTAGCCCTTTGATATTTGTGTCTATCCCTTCCCTCTAAAAGCAAAAATATCAGATAAAAGAATTTGTGGTTCTTTTCCTTCTGTTCTTTTCATGTGAAGGAAGTATCACTTCCCTTCTGTCCTATTCCAGAAATTAGTAATCTTATCTCAGTCCTGCTCAGGTCAGGTCCTGAACCACTTCTTCTTTCAAGGATGAGAAACAGGAAGAAGTATTTCAGGGGCAGTGGTAGTGCATGTTTGTCTCTGCCCTGCAAGTGACCTCTGCCAACCATGTTTTAGTGTGATCTTGGGGAGGAATACCTAAGACTCCCACAAAGCATATGGTGTGACTGTTTCTTTCTCCTGCCCGAAGTTTGGATCTCTGTTTGGACAACTGAGGGAGCATGTGGAACCATCTAGAATGCTTCTGAGAGAGCAACAGGCAGCTTTGAGGCCAATATACCCTTTATGTATCATTGGGGATGTGCTAGCCATATCATTGGTCAACCCAAGCACAGTGGGTAGAATAATTATAGCTAATGTTGACTGAATATTCACTACACGCACTTTGACATCTACTAATCTCATTTAATCATCACAACAACTCCAAGAGGTAAGTACTATTATTGCCATCATTTTCCAGATGAGGACAAGGAGGTCCAGAGAATAACTTGCTTAATTAAGGTCAAACATGTATAGAGATAGGATTTTAACCCCATTAGTCTGGCTTCAGACACTAAAGGCTTAATCAGATTGCTAAGAATGACATTCAGGTGGAACTTTTCTCAGCAATAAGTGTAATGGAAAAACAATATTATGTTATTTGTACTTCCCAGAACCTTCTCAGAAGGGTAGATCCTGTGTGGCCAGTTCCTTTGAATGTGGCGGATCAAGCAAATTGGAGAGGTTTAGACAGAGGTAACTTCTCTGTGCAGGTGGGGGGTGGGGGAAAGATTTGGAGCAATGGGTCTGGGAGATTGTGTTGGGAAGAGAGGAGCCACCATCCTGGGTGCCATGTGGGGCATGGGAGATTAAGGAGACCCTGCTACCTTCCTCATTCTCTTGAGGGCAAAGGCAGAAAATTAGGGAGAAGAAACATGGTAAAGAGGATTTGTGGAGTTGAATATAGAGACTCATGTGATACCCCACTTATTTGAAGGAGGTGAGAGAATAAGTCTTGAAGATATCTGGGGGGAACTCTAATCCAGTTAGAGGGAACAGCCAATGTGCTGGAAGTGTGCCTGGTATGTCTGAGGACCAGCAAGGAGGCCAGCATGGCAGGAGTGGAAGGAGTGAGGGGTCAAAGAGAAGGAGATGAGCTCAGAGAGGTAAGGGTGGGAGAATGGGACAATATGCCCCATGTTGACAGATCACACAGGGCACTGTTGCTATTGACTGAATGTGTAAGAACATTTCCACTATGGTGCCCTGGCCACCTGGCACTGCCACATAGACCACACAGGCAAAGGCTTGAACAACAGCTTGTCTGAGTTTTGGCAGAATGCCTGTGATCTTCCCAGAACAGAGAATATGGGAGGCCTGTGAAGAGCTGCGCTGGGGCCATTTTCTGCTTGCCTTTCTTCCCTTAGGAGGCCATCATGAACCAGTTTCTGTGGTCTCTCAGGTTCTGAAGAGGTATAGAATTTTCTTGCCCCTCCACCCCCACCCCCAAGAGCTATAGACTAAAATTGCCTCATCTATTAGTCTAGAATATTGCCTCCCCTTTTTTCTTTTTCTATTTCTTTTTTTTTTAAAGATTTTATTTATTTATTTGACAGAGAGAGCCAGAGAGCACAAGCAGAGGGAATGGCAGAGGGAGAGGGAGAAGCAGGCTCTTCACTGAGCAGGGAGCCCAATGCGGGGCTTGATCCCAGGACCCCGGGATCATGACCTGAACTTAAGGCAGGCGCTTAACTGACTGAGCCACCCAGGTGCCCCTGCCTCCCTTTTTTCAGTTCATCCTTTTTGATTTGCAGGATAAGAACCACGTGGAAATTTAGTTTTGCCATCTAGGTAAGTAATAAACCTAAAAGTGGCTTATTGTTATCTTTACTGATCCATCAGTCAGGCCTTGGCCTGATCTAGCCTTATTGTCTGCTTGAGGCTGAGATGGGGCAAGCTGTGGGAAACAAGATTGAGAGCCACCAGGCATTCTGTTTTAGACATACTTGTTTTGAGGTACTTGTTAGACATTGAGCAGGCAGTTGAATATCTGAGTTTGGAGCTCAAGAGGGGCATCTGGGATGGAGATATAAACTTTGGCATTGTCAGCATATAGATGATATTTATAGCCCTGAGACCACCGAAGAACAGAGTGCAAATAAAAAAGGCCCAAAGACTGAGCTCTGGGATCCTCCTTAGGAGCTTGAGAGAAAAGAAGGGATTGACAAAAGAAACAAGGAGGAGGGACTGGGATGAAGGAGAACCAGGAGAGTAGAGAGTCCCCAAGACCAGTGTACAAATTAGTTCCAGGAAGGAGTGGTCAAATGTCAAAAGCTGCTGAGAATCACTTAAGATGAAGATTGAGAAACAACTATTGGAGTTAACCATGTATCCTTGGTGACCTTGATGAAAACAGTTTTGGTGGAGTGGGGAATGGGGTGGGGCAAATGCTTGATTGGAATGGGTTTAAAGGACAGTGGGAGGAGCAGAACTGAGCACAGCAAATGCAGACAACTGTTTTAGAAACTGTTTTGCAAAAAGGGAGCAAAAAATGGAGCACTGGTGGGCGAAGTGGAATCAAAGAAAGTATTTGCTTTTTCATTAAAAGAAATTATTTCTGATGGAAATACCAGATTTCTGTGTATCCAATCAGTATTGTTTTCATTGATCTTATGCATTTATTCCGGAACCAATACCATATTTTAACTTACAATGGCTTTGGGGTTTTACTTTGATATGGCACCTCTGGCTGTAGAATGATATGATGCAATAAGGTATATTTCAGAGTTTTCTAAGCTATTTCTATGTGTTTTCTCTTCCAGGTAAATTTTACTTTTATTTTATTATTTTAAAATTTATTTATTTCATTTTAAAACAATGCACATTTATTATATAAATTTCTGAAAATCAGAAAAATAGAAGGAATTGTTTTTCATTGTACACTATAAAACCACCAAGCAGAAGATACCACTATTACATTTTTCTTTCTTCTCACATTTCTTTCTCTTTCTCTCTCTCTAGATATATCTATATATATGTGGGTGGTGTTATATAATTATGATTTTTAAAAAAGATCTTTTTATTTATTTGGCAGAGAGAGAGCACACAAACAGGTGGAGCAGCAGAGGGAGAGGGAGAAGCAGACTCCCTGTTGAGCAAGGACTCCATTGCAGGGCTCCATCCCAGGACCCTGGGATCATGATCTGAGCTGAAGGCAGATGCTTAACCAACTGAGCCACCCAGGCGCCCCACTTCCAGGTGAATTTTAGAATGAGCTTGTCAAATTCAAGAATAATGCTGTTGGGTGAGATTACACTGAATTACTGAGTACTCTGATGGAGAACTGACGTATTTATAGTGTTAAGCCTTGTCATCCATGAATATGGCTTGTCTTTCTATTCTTTGATGTCCTTGAGGAAAGCCTAATAGTTTAAAAATATAGTTTTTACATATTTCATGTTAGATTTATGCTTACATGTTTTACAGCTTTTTGATGTTATGGATGGTGTTTTCTTATATTTTCTCATTAGAAGATTAGTCAGCCTTAGCTGAATAAGGAATAGATTAGATTTTTATATGTTCATCTTGCTGAATAAGATTAGTTCTAACAAGTTATTGTTAACAGTCTTGGATTTTCATACTTTCTGCAAATGGCTTTTTGCCCATTGAACATGCCTTGTGCAGGAAAGAGTTATGATTGGATGTTACTGTCTGCCCATAATTTTTGCTCTTGGGAAGTCAACAAAATGATCAGAACAATTCTTTGAAGCGGTTTCCTAGCTGTGCCAGATTAACTCAAACTCAAAGAGAAAATAATTGCACTGGTGGTGCTATGTAATACTGGAATCTTGCTTTATATTGACTTGGATAGAGAATAGATGAATGGTTAAAAAAAATAAAGAAAAAAACCCAGACAAGTACAGAAGGAAATTTTACTTCTAAAAGCTTATTTTAAAACCTTTTCAATAGGGGTGCCTGGGTGGCTCAGTCGTTAAGCGTCTGCCTTCAGCTCAGGTCATGGTCCCAGGGTCCTGGGATCGAGCCCCGCATCAGGCTCCCTGCTCTGTGGGAAGCCTGCTTCTCCCTCTCCCACTCTCTCTGCTTGTGTTCCCTCTCTCCCTGTGTCTCTCTCTGTCAAATAAATAAAATCTTTAAAAAAATATCTTTTCAATAAATGGAACTGGGAACTTATTTGTTCATATGGACAAAAATGAAATTGGACTCCCTATTTCACACCACATACATCCAAAATAAAAAATAAAAAATAATTAAGACAATTTTGCAGAAAGTCAGAAATTAAATAATGTAAGTAAAACAAATATTTGAGAATATATCAGTGAAAAAGTTTTTTTCTAACTTTGGAGATTTCTTAAGTCACAGGAAAGGCTAGTAATAATAATCCATATTAAAAATAAAAACACTTGTCCAAGAGAAATGCCAATTATTTTAATTGATAATAGCATCTAACTTGTAGTTTCAGCATGAGTATCAGAAGAGATTATGTCTGTGAAAGTGACTTGTAAAGTGCTAGGCAAATGGTGGTTATGTTTAATCGCTTGGCATCAGGGAAATCCAAATCAAAACCTCAATGAGATACCACCTCACACCAGTCAGAATGGCTAAAATTAACAAGTCAGGAAACGACAGATGTTGGCGGGGATGCGGAGAAAGGGGAACCCTCCTACACTGTTGGTGGGAATGCAAGCTGGTGCAACCACTCTGGAAAACAGTATGGAGGTTCCTCAAAAAGTTGAAAATAGAGCTACCATATGATCCAGCAATTGCACTACTGGGTAATTACCCCAAAGATACGAATGTAGGGATCCAAAGGGGTACGTGCACCCTGATGTTTATAGCAGCCATGTCCACAATAGCCAAACTGGAAAAAGCCAAGATGTCCATCGACAGATGAATGGATAAAGAAGATGTGGTATATATATACAATGGAATATTATGCAGCCATCAAAAGGAATGAGATCTTGCCATTTGCAACGATGTGGATGGAACTGGAGGGTGTTATGCTGAGCGAAATAAGTCAATCAGAGAAAGACATGTATCATATGACCTCACTGATATGAGGAATTCTTAATCTCAGGAGACAAACTGAGGGTTGCTGGAGTGGGGGGTGGGGTGGGAGGGATGGGGTGGCTGGGTGATAGACATTGGGGAGGGTATGTGCTATGGTGAGCACTGTGAAGTGTGCAAGACTGTTGAATCACAGACCTGTACCTCTGAAACAAATATATGTTTGAGCAATATATGTTAAGAAAAAAAAAAAAAGAAGATAGCAGGAGGGGAAGAATGAAGGGGGGGAAATCGGTGGGGGAGATGAACCATGAGAGACGATGGACTCTGAAAAACAAACTGAGGGTTCTAGAGGGGAGGGGGGTGGGAGGATTGGTTAGCCTGGTGATGGGTATTAAAGAGGGCACATTCTGCATGGAGCACTGGGTGTTATGCACAAACAATGAATCATGGAACACTACATCAAAAACTAATGATGTAATGTATGGTGATTAACATAACAATAAAAATTTAAAAAAATGGTGGTTATGTTTACTTTTGAATCCCCCAGCAATATGCTTTATTTTCTATTTAGGATTATTTGGTGTTAAGAACACTGGTTCACTCAAATTATTTCAAGTTTTGAAGATTTCATAGGATTCTATGATAGCCATCACTACTGATCACTAATTTTTTCTTCTGTTTTCAGGTACAGGAGACAATTCCACTTCCGTGCCTAGATTTCTGAGATAACACATGGAAGATAACTTCTTGGGAGAGTTTCTCTTTCCTGTAGTAAATTTTGGACAAATAAGAAATAAACTTCTATTATATTAGGCACTGAGATTTTGGTATTGTTTGTTACTGCAGCAAAACCTGTTATTGATACAGAAATCCATAGTCTGGATGGAAAATCCATCTGAATTTCTAGTTTTTTAAATTGTTAATTAGGATGCTGATTTGAGATCTTCCTTTTATTTTAATGTGTTTATGACTATAAATTTTCCCTTAGCACTGCTTTCACTGCATCCCATTTTAAGTTTTGATATGTTGTGGTTTTGCTTCATTCATCTCTAAATATTTTAAAATTTCCCTTGTAACTTCTTCTTTGGCCCATTAGTTCTTTAAGAATATGTTGCTTAGGGGTGCCTGGGTGGTTCAGTTGGTTAAGTGTCTGCCTTTGGCTCAGGTCATGATCCCAGGGTTGTCGGATCTAGCCCTACATTGGGCTCCCTGCACAGCGGAGAGCCTGCTTCTCCCTCTCCCTCTGCTGCTCCCCCTGCTTGTTCTCCCTCTCTCCCTGTCAAATAAATAAATAAAATCTTTTAAAAAAAGAGTATGTTCCTTAATCTTCACAAATCTGTGAATTTTCCAGTTTTCCTTCCATTGTTGATTCTAACTTTATTTTATTGTGGTTGGAAAAGATACTTTGTATAACATCTATCTTTTAAAAATGTACTGAGACTTGGGGCACCTGGCTGGCTCAGTCAGTAGAGCATGCAACCATTGATCTCAAGGTTGTGAGTTTAAGCCTCACGTTAGGCATAGAGCTTACTTAAAAAAAAAAATCTATTGAGACTTAATTTGTTGCCTAACATAAGTTCTGTCTTAGAGAACATCCCATATGGACTTGAGAAGAATGTGTATTCTGTTATTGTGGGGTAATGTGTTCTGTATATGTCTCTTAGATCTAGCTGGCTTATTGTGTTGTTCAGGTCCTCTATGTCCTTACTTATCTTCTGTCTGGTTATTCTATCCATTATTGAGAATAGAGTATTGAAGTCTCCAACTATTATTATAGGATGGTCTATTTATCCCTTAAATTCTGTCAACTTTTGTTTCATATATACTGATGGCCTGTTATTAGGTGTGTAAATGTTTATAATTGCCATATTTTCTTGTTGTATTGAAACTTTTATTCATATATAATTGTCCCTTGTGTATATATAATCTTTGTCCCTTGTGTAAACTTTTTGATTTAAAATTTAATTTGTCTGGGGCACCTGAGTGGCTCATTTGGGTTAAATGTCCAACTCTTGATTTCAGCTCAGGTCATGATCTCAGGGTTGTGAGATTGAGCCCCTAGCTGGGCTCTGTGCTCACCGAGGAGTCTGCTTAAGATTCTATCCCTCTCCCCACCCCCTGCTCATGAATGTGCATATGCGTGCTCTCTCTCAAAAATTTTTTAAAAATTTTGTCTGATGGGGGGGTGCCTGAGTGGCTCAGTCGGTTAAGCATCTGCTTTTGGCTCAGGTCATTATCCCAGTGTCCTGGGTTTGAGCCCCCACATCAGCCTCCTTGTTCAGCGGGAAGCCTACTTCTCCCTCTACCTCTGCCTTCTGTTCCCCTGCTTATGCCCTCTCTCTCAAATAAATAAATAAAGTCTTCAAAAAAATTTTGTCTGATGGTAATATAGCTACCCTTGCTCTTTTCTGGTTACTATTTGCAAGTATCTTTTTCCATCTGCTTACTTAATTGCTTACTTATTTTTTTTTAAGGTTTTTATTTATTTATTTGACAGAGAGAGACACAGCGAGAGAGGGAACACAAGCAGGGGGAGTGGGAGAGGGAGAAGCAGGTTTCCTGCTGAGCAGGAAGCCCGATGTGGGGCTTGACCCCAGAACCCCAGGATCATGACCCGAGCCAAAGGCAGACACTTAACGACTGAGCCACCCAGTTGCCCCTCCATCAGCTTACTTTCCATTGGTTTGTGTCTTTCTACTTAAAGTGAGTCTCTTATGGAAAGCACACAGCATATAGTTGGCTTATGTTTTTAAAATTCATTCTGCCATTCCTTGTCTTTTGTAGAGAGGGTAATCCATTTACATTCAAAGTAATTACTGATAAGGAGGGACTTACTTCTGACATGTTGCTATTTATTTTCTTTAGGTCTTAAAACTTTTATACCCTTCACTTTCTGCATTACATTTTTTTTGTGTGTGTGTTTAGTTGATTTTTTTTTTGCAGTGAAACATTTTAATTCCATTCTCATTTTCATTTGTGAATATTGTATAGTTAGTTTCTTTTGGTTCCCATGGTGATTACATTTAACATCCTAAAGTTATAACACTCTAATTTGAATTTATAGCTTCTGCTTCAATATTATACTAACTCTGCTCCCATACAGCTCCATCAGCATGCCATTTTGCTTACTTATATCACAAAATTACATCTTTATACATTGTGTGACCAAAAACATAGGCTAACAGTTGTTTAAAAATATGCATTTAGTTTCTTAAAATATGTAGAAAACAAAATGTGACATACAGCCAAAGCTATAGTAATATTAGTTTTTAGTTTACAAAGTGCATTAATCTCTTAAATCATATAGAAAACCAAAAAAGTCATAACACAACCTTGTTACAATAACACTAGTGTTTATAATTGCATGTACTCACCTTTACTGAGATCTTTTTTTTTTAAATTTTATTTTATTATCTTTTATTAGTCACCATACAATACATCATTAGTTTTTGATATGGTGATCCACGATTTATTGTTTTCATATAACACCCAGTGCTCCATGCAGTATGTGTCCTCCTTAATACCCATCACTGGGCTAACCCATCCCCCCATCACCCTCCCCTCTAAAACCCTCAGTTTGTTTCTCAGAGTCCATAGTCTCTCATGGTTCGTCTCCGTCTCCAATTTCCCCCCTTCATTTTTCCCTTCCTTCTCCTAATGTCCTTCATGCTATTCCTTATGTTCCACAAATAAGTGAAACCATATGATAATTGGCTTTGTCTGCTTGACTTATTTCACTTAGCATAATCTCCTCCAGTCCCATCCATGTTGATGTAAAAGTTGGGTATTCGTCCTTTCTGATGGCTGAGTAATATTCCATTGTATGTATGGACCACACCTTTTTTTTTTTTTAAAGGTTTTATTTATTTATTTGACAGAGAGAGACACAGCAAGAGAGGGAACACAAGCAGGGGGAGTGGGAGAGGGAGAAGCAGGCTTCCCGCGGAGCAGGGAGCCCTATGCGGAGCTTGATCCCAGGACCCTGGGATCATGACCTGAGCTGAAGGCAGATGCTTAATGACTGAGCCACCCAAGCACCCCTATATGGATATTCTTAATGTAATATAAAGTATTTTGCATAGCAGTTGGTAGGAGTAGGAATCATATTTCCTGTATCAAGAGAAACTAAAGAAAGTATTCTTGTGTTGAATTCCTTCACCTTTTATAAGAGTTTTGTCCCTTTCCAAATTCAAATACAGAGGCTATACTGCTCCTTGGTACAGATTTGCCATTCAGAGGGCTTGATGACTAAGTTTCTGGGAACCAGGCCAATAGCCTACGACAACCCTCTTGTATCATTCTAGCTTTCTCAGTATTTCCTCAAAGTTTTAGACATGAAGAAAGAGATCTTTTTAAGGAGTGAATTTAAATCTAATATTTTTATAAAACTCAATATTCTTTCACTGAAGTTGGGTTTCACAGAATCTCAGCTCTATGGTACGTTCAGAGGAATGATTATCACAATGAAGAAAAAGACGTAGCAAATAGTTATCATAGAGCACAGATTAAGAGTGTTCCAGACATTCTAGAAGCACACTTAAAGGTTTAAATTGTGGCAAAATACACATAACATAAACTTTGCCATCTTAACCATTTGTACATATACAGTTAAGCAATACCCATGATGCTGTGCAATCATCACCACCTTCCATCCCCACAACTAACTTTTCTTTTTAATTTAATTTTATTATGTTATGTTAGTCACCATACAATACATCATTAGTTTTTAATGTGGTGATCCACGATTCATTGTTTTTGTGTAACACCCAGTGCTCCACGCAGTACCTGTCCTCCTTAATACCCACCACTGGGCAAACCCATCCACCCAACCCCTCCCTTCTAAAACCCTCAGATTTTTTCTCAGAGTCCATAGTCTCTCATGGTTCATCTCTCCTTCTGATTTCCCCACTTCATTTTTCCCTTCCTTCTCCTAATGTCCTTCATGCTATTCCTTACGTTCCACAAATAAGTGAAACCATATGATAATTGACTTTCTCTGCTTGACTTAATTCACTTAGCATAATCTCCTCCAGTCCCATTCATGTTGATGTAAAAGTTGGGTATTCATCCTTTCTGATGGCTGAGTAATATTCCATTGTATATATGGACCACATCTTCTTTATCCATTCATCTGTTGAAGGGCATCTCAGCTCTTTCCACAGTTTGGCTATTGCGGACATTGCTGCTATGAATATTGGGGAGCATATGGCCCTTCTTTTCACTACATCTGTGTCTTTGGGGTAAATACCCAGAACTACAATTGCTGGGTCAAAAGGTAGCTCTATTTTTAATTTTCTGAGGCACCTCCATACTGTTTTCCAAAGTGGCTGTACCAAGTTGCATTCCACCGACAGTGTAAGAGGGTTCCCCTTTCTGCACAACTTCTCCAACATTTGTTGTTTCTTTCCCTGTCCATTTTTGCCATTCTAACTGGTGTAAGGTGGTATCTCAGTGTGGTTTTGATTTGAATTTCCCTGATGAATGATGATAAACATTTTTTTCATGTGTCTCTTAGCCATTTGTATGTTTTCTTTGGAGAAGTGTCTGTTCATGTCTTCTGTCCATTTTTTGACTTGATTATTTGTTTTTTGGGTGTTGAGTTTGAGAAGTTCTTTATAGATCTTGGATCCTGCCCTTTATCTGTAGTGTCATTTGCAAATATCTTCTCCCATTCTGTGGGTTGCCTCTTTGTTTTGTTGACTATTTCCTTTGCTGTGCAGAAGCTTTTTATCTTGATGAAGTCGCAAAAGTTCATTTTCTTTTGTTTCACTAGCCTTTGGAGATGTATCTTGAATGCCATCCCGATCAAAATTCCAATGACATTTTTCAAAGTGCTGGAACAAACAATCCTAAGGTTTGTATGGAATCAGAAAAGACCCCAAATCGCCAAGGAGATGTTGAAAAGAAAAACAAAGCCCGGGGCATCACGTTGCCCGATTTCAAGCTATATTACAAAGCAGTGATCACCAAGGCAGCATGGTACTGGCACAAAAACAGACATATAGACCAATGGAACAGAAGAGAGAACCCAGATATGGACCCTCAACTCTATGGTCAAATAATCTTCAACAAAGCAGGAAAAAATATGCAATGGAAAAAAGACAGTCTCTTCAATAAATGGTGCTGGGAAAATTGGACAGCCACATGCAGAAGACTGAAACTCGACCATTCTCTAACACTGCACACAAAGATAAACTCA